ACAGTTGCAGCTTTATCCAGCCCCTCCCTACAGCAGTAGTTCTGTCCCGATTCTCCCTACAGTTGCAGCTCTGTCCAGCCCCTCCCTACAGCAGTAGTTCTGTCCCAATTCTCCCTACAGTTGCAGCTTTATCCAGCCCCTCCCTACAGCAGTAGTTCTGTCCCGATTCTCCCTACAGTTGCAGCTTTATCCAGCCCCTCCCTACAGGAGTAGTTCTGTCCCGATTCTCCCTACAGTTGCAGCTTTATCCAGCCCCTCCCTACAGCAGTAGTTCTGTCCTGATTCTCCCTACAATTGCAGCTCTGTCTGGCCCCTCCTTACAGGAGTAGTTCTGTCCTGATTCTCCCTACAGTTGCAGCTCTGTCTAGCCTGTCCCTACAACAGTAGATCACTGCTATAGTTACCTACTGCTGATTGCAGCCACCAATTATTAAAAGTGATCTGTTGTTGCACAGCTTCACGTCGTGGAAATTGGAAGTGAAGAAAAAGTGGAATAAAAATGTAAAAAACAATAGATAAACGTGTGTGATGACAGAATGCTATGCTGTAGGAATATGTCAGGTCTCTTGTCAGGACCTGGGTCACCTGCTAGTGGCACTGTTGTTCTCAGAGCCAAGGGCACAAATCTAGTGGCTACCAGCAAGTGGCTCCCAACAGCCAGCATATCTTAGTATTAAGGCTCCACCTGATACTGGCTGCTGGGAAGGTATTTCATCCTTCACCTGATGAAGATTGGTGCTTCAGTGTTCTTCCTGTGAGCCTTGTCCTTATCCAATACTGTGACCTGCTTCCAATACCCTGTACCCTGCATCCAGCATCCTGTTCCCTACATCCAGCACCCTGTACCCTGCTCCACTTCCTTTGTTTCCTGTCCCAGCCCTGATCCTGCCCTGTTCATGTGAGCTCCCCCCCATTTTTGTACATAGCGTTTGCTAGCCAGACTGTTGATTTGGGTTTGCTGCACTATGACATTTATTTTTCAGTTTTACATTGTTTATGGTTTGTTGATGTTGGAAGGATATTTATTTATGTTAATAGACTTTATTTAATCATACTTGGTCTGGTTCCTGATTCCTTGATGTGTAGCACACTGATCTGGTCATCCTTGCTGGATGCCTGCATTTGGTATCCCTTATAATGTGGAATGGAACTGACAAATGGGGCTGCCTAAAAATAGGCCACCATCAATGCCAGAACGCTGATGCAGAAGTAAAGAGTTGGGTGACACCTGGACTGAAGAGTCCAAATTGAGAATTTGAAGTTTCTCCTGGGGAAAAACTTTGGCTTAAGTTGTGTCTAGGATAAAACTCAGATACTCCAATCGATGAGTTGTTTTGATCACTAACTTCTGAAGGTTAAGGACCCAGCTGAACTTTTACAAAGTCTCCACTGTTTGAACCACATTGTGGGCCAGAACTTGTGATGACTCTTTCCTCATCAGGATCAGTTAGCAGGGCCATAAACTGAAAGTGCTGGGGATCCACAGCACAGTGAAGGAACCACTCATGCACAGAAAAAATGGGGACATGCAGATACATGTTTTTGATGTCCACAGAGGCCAGAATGTCTTCGGGGAAAAGGCTATGACAGACCTAGTGGATTCCTTGCATAATTTTTGGACTAAAGTGAACACATTTAGGGCTTCGAGATTCACGATGCAGCTGATGCCCCTTTTTGGTTTGGGAACCACAGGAAACATTCTGCCACAGGGACTGTGATGATGGCCTATTGCTCCAGAAGACCCACAAGGTCTCAATGGAGATATGCTAATCTCTGAGATGACACAGTCACATTGGAAGACATGAACCAAGGAGGGAGCCGAGATTGGAATTCTAGCTTGTAGCCACTGGAAACCATCTTCCTCCTAAGATGCTAGATGTCTGCAAATGATGGGGTGCCCTCATCTTCCAAAGTTGGGAGGGAGGGGTCTGTGAGAGCAACCCCCATCTTTGGAAGATGAGGGCACCCCATCATGCTGAACACTTATGTGAGGGCTTGGGGGACTTGGAAGTTCAGGGTTTGGTTTGTGGGCAGACTGGGGTGCCAAGCTTGGGCTTGGCTTTAGAGGTTGAGACCTGGGAGTAACTAAAGGAGTTTTTCTCAGCCTCCAAAGTAAGTGTGTACTATTAAAATAAAAGATTACAAAAAATGCATATAGAGCAGTATCAGACATAGAAGTACATGATCAATGCTTTCCAAACACTTAAGTACACCATTATAATACCTCAGTTCATGAAAGGCTTATTTTATATGATCGGGAAAAAAATTACTATAGAAACACGTTTCGTCTATGCGAGGTCTTGAGCATGTCGTCACCATGTGGATCACTGAGAATACTTATTGTGTATGGCCCCAATCTTCAACCCTTTGACTGGAGTGGTGTACTCCAGTTTTAGAGAAATCTGCTTTCTCCACTACATAGAGGAATCAAGAATTTGGTTATGGCTATCTTTTTATTACACTAATAGACGGTCATTTTAAAATTCTTTCCAAAGCAGAGTTTCTGAACAAGTCATGCACCCCTTGTGTTATTTCTACCTGTAATACTCTGAAAAAACTGTATAAAGTTTCAATGATATGACATTTTTGCACAAAAAAGGTGGAAATCCCATATTTGTGCATGTCTTTTATATAGTCATGGCCAAAAATATTGGCACCCCTGCATGTCTGTCAAGATAATACATCACATTGCCCCAAGAAAATTGTTGCAATTGCAAATGTTTAGGCATGTTTATTTCTTTTGTTTGTATTGGTATGACACAAAAACGTGGGGAAACGAAAAACCAAATCTGACCCATTCCACACAAAACTCCAAAAATGGACTGGACAAAACTATTGGCACCTGTATCAATTAACAGGTGTTGACAATATAGAAATCATGCCAGCAACCAGTTAAAATAGGGAAAAATTGACTCAACCTTTCTGTTGTGTATCTGTGTGCCACATGGAGCATGGAGAAGAGAAAGAGCAGCAAAGAATTGTCTGAGGATTTGAGAACAAAAATGGAAAAGCATGGACAATCTCAAGGTTACAATTCCATCTCCAGAGATCTTAATGTTCCTGTGTCCACTGTGCGCAACATTGTCAAGAAGTTTATAGTCCATGGCACTGTAGCTAATCTCCCTGGACGTCGACAAAAGTGAAAAATTGATGAAAGATTGCAGCAAAGGATTGTTCTAATGGTGGCTAAAGAACCTCGATCAACTTCCAGACAAATTCAAGCTGACCTTCAGGCACAGGGTACAACTGTGTCAGCTTGCACTACACATCGCCATCTGAATGAAAAGGGACGGTATGGTAGGAGACCCAGGAGGACCCCACTGCTGCCAGAGAAACATAAAAATATTCAGTTTGGAGTTTGCAAAACCTTACCTGAGGAAGCCAAATTCCTTTTGGGATAACGTGCTGTGGACAGATGAAACAAAATTACAGCTTTTTGGTAAAGTCCATCATTCTACTGTTTTCAGAAAAAGAAATGAGGCCTTTAACCACATGCCTACAGGACACTTATACCCTCCTTCCTGCCCAGGCCAATTTTCAGCTTTCAGCACTGTCACACTTTGAATGACAATTGCATGGTCATGCAACACTGTACCCATATGACATTTTTATCATTTTTTTTTTTGAGACAGAGCTTTCTTTTGGAGGTATTTAATCACCTCTGGGTTTTTTATTTTTTGCTAAACAAAACAAAAAAAAACAACTGAAAATTAAAAAAAAAAAAAATTTCTTTGTTTTTGTTATAAAATTTTGTAAATAAGTGATTTTTTCTCCTTCACTGATGTGCGCTAATGAGGCTGCAGTGATGGGCACTGATAGGCTGCACTGATAGGTGGCACTGATGAGGCACTGGTAGGTGGCACTGATGGGCATTGACAGACATCACTGATGGGAACTGAAAGGCAGCACTGACTGGCACTGTTAGCCGGCACTGATAAACCACTGATCACATGACCGAGCCGACGTCTTCAGCTCTTTCCATTGATCGGTGATCCGCTGTGTCCAAGGGACACAGCGTACCATCGCACACGCGGTTAGAGTGGGAGGATGTCATCTTGCACCCGTCATTTCCTTATAGGCGGGCGGGAGGCGGTTAAAGAAACAGTCAAACATGGTGGAGGTTCACTGATGTTTTGGGGTTGTTTTGCTGCTTCAGGCACTGGATGTCTTGACTGTGTGCATGGCATTATGAAATCTGAAGACTGCCAAAGAATTCTGGAGTGCAATGTAGGACTAAGGTGTCAGAAAGGAGACCACTGTCTCCGTCAGAGGTCATGGGTCTTACAGCAGGACAGTGACTCAAAGCACACGTCAAAAACCCAGAAATGGTTTAAAAGAAAGTGCTGGAGAGGACTGAACTGGCCAGCAATGAGTTCAGATCTCAGTCCCATAGAGCACCTGTAAAGAGATCTCAAAACAGCAGTTGAGAAAAGAAACCCTAAAATCTGAGAGACCTGGAGCAGTTGGTGAAAGAGGAGTGGTCCAAAATTCCAGTAGAGAGGTGTAAGAAACTCCTTGATGTCTACAGGAAACAATTGATTTCAGTTACTTTTTTCAAGGGGTGTACTACCAAATATTAAATTGAGGGTGCCAATAATTTTGTCCTGTCCATTTTTGGAGTTTTGCGTGGAGTGTGTCAGATTTGGCTTTTTATTTCTCCACTTTTTTGTGTCATACCAATACAAACAAAATAATTAAAAATGAGAATGCCTAAAAATTTGTTATTGCAACAATTTTCTGGGCGAAGAAGTGGTGCATTATCTGACAGAAATGCAGGGGTGCCAATATTTTTTTGGCCATGACTGTATGTATCTTTAGTATACCAGATCAGTTTGTGGAAAAAATATTCTGGTTTATATGATAGGGCTGTCTTTGGGATGTGTGTTGAATAGCAGTTAAAAAGATTATCATAAATATACTCACTCATATGTTTTGTGTGTTGAAATAGATGTAATTTGTATATTGCTTTCTATATTGATTCCTCGCCTATATTTTTTCAGCCTATGCTAGAATCTGGAGCCGTAGAACTACTATGTAGTTTGACTCTAAGTGAGAATCCTGCCCTGCGTGTCAATGGCATCTGGGCTTTAATGGTAAGCATTTTTCTGCTGATATGATAATCTATTAATTGATAACATCTTCGTAACACATTTTCTGTTTACAGAACATGGCATTTCAAGCTGACCAGAAGATAAAATCCGACATTTTAAGAGGTCTAAGCACAGAGCAGTTGTTTCGACTATTGTCTGATTCCGATGTGAATGTATTGATGAAAACATTGGGACTTCTCAGAAACCTGTTGTCTACAAGGCCAGTAAGTAATTTATGAACAACTGCTGATTTCCAGCAAACAAAAGACTTTTACAATCAAAAACTTTACCATATGCAATTTAATATTTCCAGGGGACAATGGTCATCTAGTCAAATAGTGTGAATTTTTTCAGCAGGGACAGCAAAAATGCAACTGGTTTTGCAAGGTGGAGAGCACGAAAAGAAGAACATGTATGATCCAGATACATTTTTATTTAGACACAAAAAGCCAACATGTTTAGGGGGTTCAAAGGCTCCCCCTTTATCAGGGTTTGGTACTGTTGAACAAAGTGTATACTGGACTGTAAAAATTGGAGGGATTGTGAAAGTTAATTCGTTATATAATCACTCCATATGCATCTGGCAGGATCATGCTAATTTATATGTTCTGCTTTTGACATGGAATCCAATCCTTTTGCTTTTAGAATGTATACCTTCAGCTTTTGGCGCTTTCCACCTTGCACACCCTGTCCCTACTTGAATTACTAGTCAACATTTGGCCACCATTCCTGGAAGAGCAACCTGATGAGATTAATTTCCTCTACACTGATGAGACCTGAGAATCCAGTGCCCCATGCCTTTCTTCTGCTTCCCGAGCAATAAAAATGTGACTGGGTGTTACCACTTCCACACTCTCCAAAAATCTTGGCTTTAGATTCTTTCTTAAGGCTTTCTTATTGTGTTATTGATATGAAAACTGTGCTACAAACATATAATGATTTGCCAAAATAAGTATTTTTTTTTTTCTTTTTCATCAAAGCAGAATTTTTTTTTTTTATTTGTTTTGAGTAGAGGAGGGCTTAGAAACATGCATACCTGTGTGAATTGCTTTCATCGCTGATCCCATGCTGAGCTTTTCATCAGCCAATTCTGCCTTATCTGGCATTGCTACAGATATTTTTTTTCCCTTTGATTTCAATAAAGACTCCCATGGAGTAGATGCAGTCCCTCATGACAACTGGAGGATTACATTTTAGGAGAAAATATTCTGATTTATTTGTACATCATAACTGATCTACGGATTTGAGAATTTTCTAAAGTTAGCACAAGCCCACAGTCCTCTACACATTAGATCCTTTCCCACCAAAAGTATTCCCTCATTAGCAGTGTTTGAATAGTACTAGGCAGTCAGTCATCTTTTCATTTGCAATCCTTTTGATACAAGAGTACAAATGTGGCAGGTGTGCTCAGCTGTTAATGATGTTCATGACTAGTGAGTCTACCCTCCTCGGCTATCAGCATCACTAAATCTGTAGATGTTGAGCTAATTTAGAGCTGAAAGTGGGCAGTTCCCAATCATATTGAGGGAACTGTTCTATTCCACATTAAGGAGCTATGTGACTCATTCAAACAGAATAACTAAAGGTCACTTTTTTTCTTTGCGATAGCATTCTAATGATCAAATTCTAGAGCCTAGAGGTCTCTCAAACACATTGATAAATCCAACAGGTTTTAAATTTTAACTGATAGTAAAACATCTATTGTATGTAGAGATTCCTTGACTACATAATTAAATGTCAGCATTTGATCAAGGATGAATTACTGTATTGCCTAGTGGTTTTTATGCATTGTGTGTTGTAATTATCCTAGAATTTATTATTTATTTCACCTAGCGCAACCCGTGGTTCCTGCCTACAGGCTGTTGGTAACATTATTCCTCTCTTCTTTGTCCTCTATGTGCACTTTAAGCACATAGACCAGATAATGAGCACACATGGGAAGCAGATCATGCAAGCAGTGACCTTCATCCTTGAAGGGGAACATAACATAGAGGTCAAGGAACAGGTATGATATTACTGGTTCAGTACCAGCATTACCTGTACTGCACTCGACCGATCTTTTAGAAGCGTGAAACATGGTACTGTAATGAGCGATAGGCTGCTTAATCTCCCTGGCAGGGGTTAACAACAGCTTAGCAGTACTGTAGGTAATGAATATTTTACTAGCACAAGCAAGATATGCATAACGCATTTTATTCTAATCGATTTTCTGTAGAGCCCAATCCTTCTCAATTAATGTATTACATCAGCTTCTCTTTGGCTCCAGTATATAAAATCACTTTCCTAACACATTCATGTACATTAGCCTAATAATCTCATTGGGACACAGGCTTTTTACTTCCAGTAATGGCTTCATATGCTGGTTTGTCTGCTGATTGCTTTATACCAGGGGTCTCCAAGCTTTCTAAACAAAGGGCCAGTTTACTGGCTTTCAGACTTTAGGGGGGCTGGACTGTGGCCATTGGGAGTAGAAATTGTCCTGTGTCATTGGGAGTAAACAATGCATCTTTGGCATTAGGGGAGGAATAGCACCCTATTCTTAGTGTAAGTTGAAGAAATAGTGCCCCATCATTGGTATCAGTGGGAAGAATAGTGCCCCATTGTTGGTGTCAGTGGGAGGAATGGTGCCCCATGGTTTGTTTCAGTGAGAGGAATAGTGACTGTTATTGATGTCAGTAGCAGGAATTATGACCCCTTGTTGGTGTCAGTGGGAGGATTAGTGTCTTGTATCAGTGGGAGAAAAAGTGCCCCAAGGGCCAGATAAGAGCAAGCAAAGGGCCGCATCTGGCCGCTGGGGCATAGTTTGGAGTTCACTGCTTTATACTATTATTGGCTACAAAATTATTGAACATCAAACATTCAGTATTTACATTGTTCAAAAGTGCACAATAGTATTCCAGGTTCATGTGTAGTTTGTAGTAATGATTGGATAGCTCAGGGGTGTTCGGACACAAGTCTGAACCCAAAATATGTAGCAATATAGCCGGCAACTCATTTCTTTATCATAATATCTTTATTAGCACATAGTAAAAGATGTAAAATCCATAAAAGCTGACTCGTTTTGGCCACAGCTGTTCACACTCTGAACCCCCCTGAGCTATCACACCAGCAAGCTGTCAAAGACAACAGGCAAACATATGCTGCAGAGACATTTCCCTCCCCTCAACTACACATATGCAAGGGGTATGTGTACATGCGGCTTCGGGGTGAGGAATACCTCCACCGCCTATGATTGGCTGTTGGTTTTGACCGCTTCCCAGTGAGATAGTTTAAGCGAGTTCGGATTTGTGTCCGAACACGCCTGAGCTCATCACTAAACACAGGAACACACCCACCAAAGATGGATATTGCTATTTGAACTATCTTATGTGTAACCAAAAGCAATCAGTGCAGTCAAACACTATCGCCAATACAAATATTCACGTTGCTGCTAGACAAAGTGATTTCACGCCCCTCCTATGCCAATATAATATCTGCTACATCATCATTTAATATTATATTTGAACTATCTTAATACACATTTTGCTGTTTTCCTTTTTGTCTGTTTATTAATGAAAGGTTTAGAGTTTAAGGTTCAAGTATAGTGTGTGTTTAGTGAGCAATGAAAAACAAATTGGCATCACTGTGTAAAAAAAGCAGCGTAATACTTACCTTTCTGATGGGTTGTTTATTGAATCTTTACTTTCTAAGGGGCTCTAGGCACCACTACTTTTTGACACTTCTTGCTTATGTTTTATCTTGATAACAAGAAAACGTAATCTTTGATGTGACATTCAAAATTTTGTATGCTTCCGCTTCCCCTTTTTTGTTCTTTTATTGAATAATAGATTAGCCACTAAAGACAAAGTAGGTTACTTTCCACCATTCCTCCTTTGTGCAGCTGCAGCATCTCAATTGGCATCAAAGGTACTGTTACTTTCCATCATTCCTCCTTTGTGCAGCTGCAGCATCCCAATTGGCATCAAAGGTACTGCCTTCATTGGGATGTATGGCACACCCATGCATCCCCATGCAAGTAAGCATGGCCCTCTCACAGAGCACACATTGATACACCCCATGTGAAAGAGGCCTTAACATAGTTTAACCCCTTCACGCCTAAGGGTAAAACAAATCTTAAAGTCTAAGTAAAATTTTACAACTTTGACATGTGTTAGTAAAACAGTACATACAGTATCATCACAACTACTTTGTACATCCAGGGGAATTATACCTTGTTTTTTCCAGGACAGATTGGGCTTTCATTTGGTGGTAAATGGTAATGATTTTTTTATATTATCAAAGGAAAACTGGCCCAAAATAGTTATTAAAAAAAAAAAAAGATTTTTTTTTTTTTTTAGCTGTGTGTTTCCTGTTACTACCATAATCTACCACCAAAGAACAACCCCCCAAAAATTTCCAGCTCTTGATCACAGTGATACCATATATGTGTATGTTATTTGTTGTTTCTACCTGTACAACAGCCCAGAAACAATAGTGTGCATTTTGTTTTTTGTTTTCTAACTAAAACACACTGACACTGATACCAATTAAATTTTTTTTTAAAATCCTGACCCTTAACCGTGACGTTTGACCTTGACCTTTGAGCCTGGCCCAAACTCTAACCCTGGTACTAAACTCGATCAAACCTTCATCTAGTTATTTTATAATTTAGTTTTTAGTATTTATTTATTTTTACAAACAGTTTTTTTTCCTCTCTGCAAGGAGTGAGAGAGATACAATGTATCTCCCCCATTCAGAGAGAAAAAAACCAAGGGGGGCAGGCTTCACAGTGACTGATCACTGTGATAGCCAATCAGAGGCTATCACAGTGATCATGTGACCCGGAATCGGGAGTCCCGGGTCCCAATCGTTAGAACGGTACCCGGGGCTCTCAGTGACACCCCGGTCTTTGTGCTGTGAGCGCGCTGTGTGGCGCGCTCCTAACACAAAGACAGGTACACAAATATGAGGGTCCAGGGAAAAAAGCCCAGTTCTGCATATTTGTGCGACGTCGGTGTCAAGGGGTTAAGCTACCTTTGTGGTTATCCTTAAATTGAGAAAGATTGGTGGGACTTTAATTTACAGTCTGAAAATCTATAAGGCACATCTTATAGCTTGGGTACAACTCAGGAGCTGTGGATGGAGAAAAATATCTTTGTTCAAATAGAATATTTGAATGTAATTGGCCTAATATACCTATTATTATTATTATTATTATTATTATTATTATTATTATTTATGCATTTCCCTGGAAATTCCTTTTAAAGCAAATCTGTAGAGGTCTTAAACTTTTGAAATTTGCAGTTAAATACAGGAACATAGATGCTGAGTTTGGGTCTACTTCTCCCATTTTCTACATTTTATTGTTCAGTAAGGCCACCTATCAAAGCAGTAAACCATTAGTGAGTTGAGGTGAGGAGACGTGACTTCCTTAAGTTAGGTTCTAGGTATCTGTGCTTTTAGTTTTGAAAACTTAGAGTGCAACCAAAGTTATAATTAAAACCATATGCTTTCCTAGCTTTCCTGTTACAACCACTTTATAATGGACCCTCCTTCTTTCATAATGTGGCATACCGGTTATTAGCAGTGCTTTGCCTGTGCCCATAATAGAGGTGGTTAGGTTATTGTTTCTAAGCTAGATTGTATCAATACTGGTACATCTCAAATCTTAAACTGCCACAAGGCAGCAGTTTGGTGACAGAGGTGTAATAGGTTGTTTTATTTGTCTTCTAGACACTTTGTATACTCGCTAATATAGCAGATGGTACTTCAGCAAAAGACCTTATCATGACGAATGATGATATTTTACAGAAGATCAAGTATTATGTGGTAAGTCACAAACCTGTTTCCTGCTTTGACAATTTTATCTGATTTCTTGATTGAAAAACAGTTAAACACATATTTAAGTGTATGTAAACCCTAACAATTAACTTCTTAGTTGCTCCCCTGTGTACTGTTAAATATGCCATTGAATTTGTTTTGGTATATGTGATTAGTGCAAAAAAACCTGTTGCCTCTGCCAGAAATCTTATGAACTGATAACTTGCTACACTTTCTGCCTCTATCTTTTACCAGTTATTATTGTTCCTAGCTTCCTCTGTAGATTGCAGAACACCTTTATTATTTTTATTATTATTATACAGGATTTATATAGTGTCAACAGTTTGCTCAGTGCTTTACAATATAACGGGAGACAATACAGAAACAATACAGTTCAATACAAGAGGGATAGGAGGGCCCTGCTCCTTGGAGCTTTACCCTATATTATGAAGGAGAGGTGAGCGGCAGGTGTTCTATAGTCCTGTCCTAGAGTAACAATGTTGCTGGTCTGTAAATACAGTAAGGTGAGAGTGTGTTTTCACTCTAGGGCAGAAAGTGTTACTGTCAGGATCACCAGGTGAAAAAGAAAACTAATACAACGACCATATCTAAGGACTGCTAAGCTGCAATATATAAAAACAGTGTTCTTGGGTTTAGATACGCTTTAAGCCACATTTGTTTTGTCATTGTTACAATTCTACCATTGCATTCCCTCAATTTCTTTTCCCTCTGCTTTCTAGGCCAGCACTGTGTGATTTATAGTTATTTCCTTTGTTACAAAAAATCATTGTTCAGTTTGCTAACAGCTCTACGAAAGTATTGCATCAGCTACAAAATGATGCTGATGATCCAAGTATAGCTGTGCATTCTTTAATGAATTCTGGGTAACAGCAAGAGTCTGAATTTTACTATGTGGAAAGCAACCCTTTTAATGATGCCAGTAATGTAAGTTTTTCAATAATAGTATGCAATAAAACAGACAAATGCATGGTTGCCTTTTACATTTACAGTCACATCAAACTGACATCGCAATACTGATTCAGCCATCATTTTTCAGACTTCTGAGGGCAATGTCACAACAGTGGCAGGATTGCTATCAGACCGTTTATCTTCTCTTGGTTGTCCAGACCAGCAAGATATAGCTCCATTGCTGTCTTCTTGTCAGCGAGTAATATTCTGCAGTGTTTTGGCCAGCAAGTGATTGACAAACGTTAAAGGAGGTGGTTGTTGCACTTGAGTGATTCTGCTGCTGGCGATATGTCACATCACCAGCTGAAGAGTGGCCAGTGTTACATTAACATTGGAGCCTGTATGGGCAGGCTATTGTTTGTTAGTTTTGCATTCCTATACAAGTCTATAGGAATACAAAACCTACTTGAAGCAGGTCATGTGCAGGGCAGAAGGAGGTTAAGTGCATCTGTCAATATAATCTGAATGATGTTAGAAGCTGCTCAAACTGATGTGATGGACACAAGCCCAAAGCTCATTGACACAGGCCTTTAAAGTGACTCTAAACATGAGACATATAGGAGCTGCCATCGCAGGCCACCTCCTTAAAGTGCTAGATGCCTGGCTACAGTATGTTTCAGTCATAATCCCAGAACAAATATGCTGTGAATGAGTGTCAAAAAAGTGTCAGAACTTCTTAATGCTAGACTTGTTCCAGGTCGGCGATTTAGACAGCAGCAAAGTCAAGCTATTAAAATAGCAGCCAGGGAACTAGCATTCCCAAACATAAATTCAGTAATGGCAGCCACCATCTTTCATGACAGTATCTTTACTCCTGTAAAGGTTTTCAGAGGAAATAGGCTGATCAGTTTAGCCTATCCAGACTTTCTGTTGACTTGCTTTGACCTCCAGACTCCAGGGTGTTCCAAGATCAGTTAGAAGTTTTAATTTTGCTGATGTGTTCTTGATGTGACCCAGGTACCCTACCTCCAAGAGTGCATCCCTTTTACTATTGGAGGCAAAGGCTTATGTGGTTGGGAAATGTTAAAGACAAGTGGTTCTATTATGAGCTGCAATGGCAATGTTTTATTCCTCATCAGTCCTTTAGAGAAACCTGATTTCATCCTCTTGCACCCACAACCTTGATCTTGTGTGCAGTATCTACAGTTTAAGATCACAAGTAAGTATAATATAGAATTATCACTCCTGCTTGCTACCACAGACCAGTTTAGGATGCATTCACACCTCTAAATGCACCCAAGACTGATTACATATGAGAAATCCGGCGGGGGTTCCTGACAATTAGCTGAAGGAAGCTCATGCAGAAATTACATGTGACTGTCTCCCGCAGCTAATTGCCGGGGTTCTTGCATGTAATCGTTGTCGGGTGCATTCGCAGGTGTGACTGCACCCTTAAGGCCCACAAAACAGCTACTTTTTACATTACTTATAGCCTGGATCCTAAGAAGCTAAAACTCCTTTGCAAAAAGCAGATTTTGCTAATACAGTTGAAGGAAGTACCCGCTTCTTTGGAAGATGATACTAGAACTTTAGATTTCAAGGTGCTTGTATGCATTCTTGCAACCTAACATGCAGTAATAAAAATCTGGATGGTGCCAAATGGAGGATATCATCTTCTAATAGTAAAGATTTCACCTATAACCAATACTCTTCCATCTACAACATCACCTTCATATTGTATCCATGAAAATCACAAACATGAGTGAAGAAGATTTGAAACCTTGACAGAGCCCAACCCCCAACTTGGGGTATATTCACACCAGGTGCAGTGGGGCTGCGTGGGGTGGCCATTTCAGTGCATTCCCACCACATGGCAAGGAAAAATGCTTAGCCTCTTTGTGTGCCCAGTTCTCATTCCTGTGTTGCGTTGGTGTGCTGGTCATGTGTAATTTAAAAGTACTATGTGCAGTACCTTTTTTCAGTGCAGCCAATTTAGTTTATGAGGTTTTTATATGACATTTTAATAAAGTTTGTTTAAAAAAAAAAAAGTGGACAGGTTCACCCACTGAGATCGGTGCAGCATCACTGCGCTGATCACTGCATTGTAACTCAGTGACTGGTGTAAGCATACCCTTAGAGTGTCTGTAAACCCTAACAATGAACTATTTGTATTTGCTGTGTTAAATCTGGTCTGTTAAATATACTGTTGAAAGTGAAAGTGTTTTGTTATAGATGTTCAATAAGTGCAAAAAAGTATACCTGTTGATCCTGCTAGAAATATAAGTTGATAACTTCCTGTAAATTCTGTTTGTGCTGCAGTTTGCATTGTTCCCAGTTTTCTCTCTATGTATTACAGAACCCCTTATGTTATGGAGAGGAGAGTGGAAGTCCTAGAGTGACAACATTGCTCCTCCATCGATACAGTACGATTAGTGAGCATTGTCACCCTAGGACTTGAAAAGTGTTACTGGCAGGATCAACAGGTGAAAATTGGTAAAAGAAGCCCAAAAATAAAACTAATGCAGCCACCAACCAGCTAAGGGTTTGTAAGCTGCAATATAAAACATATTTGGGTTTAGTTGGTAATCCTTGCCACTAAACTGGACAACTTATTTTAAAAGCAGACTTTACCTTTGGGGAAAAGCACTTGTCCTGAAGATCTGTCGATTCAGAGATCCCCACAGATGAAGTGAATAATCCTTGCTTTTTCTGTACAAGTACAGCTTGGTTGTGACCCCTACTACATCCTGAATGTCTCCAATATAAGGGAGTGTCAACAAAGGGATATGGTAATTGTCAATATTATGACTTTTTTTTTCTTTTTTTAAAGGAATAAGTTCACCTTTTTGACAAACATAATAAATGCACATTTTTTGCAGGGAAAAAAAATGCATTTATTTTTGTCTACAGGAGCCTGGAAAAGCATTGCACCAGCGATCATTAGATCGCTGATGCCATGCAGGTTTCCTGCAGACCTGTCAGAATATATGCTTGTCGTACGGGATGTACAAGCAAGCAGATATATGGACAGGAAGCTTCAATGAACAGCACCGTGGTAGTTCATTGAAAACTACAAGCCGACAGCCGCTAAGGCTGTCGGGACTTGCAGTTCATTCATTCACAGAAGTCCATGAATGAATGATGGGGCCGTATGGGCTGAGCCCGGCACGGCCAAGCTTTTTCCAAATTTGACAGATCGTACAGGGAGACTTCTCTGTCAAATCTGTCAGAGGGAGCGGGGGGTTGGCAGGCAGTGTCTGCAGCTATGGGAACATGTTACATGTTCTACCCAAAAAACAGGTGGAACATGTAACATGTTTCCAAAGGTGAACTTATCCTTTAAAGCTGCAAGCTCTAGGGCAGTCATTCTTATTATTTTTTTCATTGCTTTGCGAGACACTTACCTGAAACTAGCATGTTCATATCCTGTGTCCTAACCCATAAGTACATGCTTGTTTCAAGGCAGAGACTCGCCAAGTAGTGAAGTAGGGATGACGTTAGTGAAGTTTTCACACTCAAAAACAAGTTGATATTAGCATGTCCCATCTTCTGTCATGGCAGATTCCTTTTAATGTGATAATTTTTCTTCACCTACCAATAGTTCACTGCAGGAGGTGGGAGGATGGCAGAGCCAAGTTTGACTTTTACAGGAAGAAATATTGAGATTTGATTTACTAACAGCAAATATACTGTGCACTGCAAGTGCAGTTCCTCCAGAGCTTAGTAAATAAGGTAAAGCTTTACTTTGCAAAGAACACCCAATCACATCCAAGGAAAATTTATAAAAAATGTATATATTTTTTACATACCTGTAAAATCCATTTCATGGACACAGAGCAGGCTATAATCATTACTATCTGGGTTATGCACCACCTATAGGTGAATGGACACCGGCAGGCCAAACAGGAAGTCCCCCTCTATATAACCCCTCCCATACAGGAAGTACCTCAGTTTTGTAGTTAGCAATGAAATCCCAGAAAGAGGGGCAGGACATCTGTGTCCCGTGATGTACTCCAAGAAATGGATTTTACAGGTAAGTATGTAGAAAAAAATCCAATTTTCGGTATCGTACATCACGGGACACAGAGCAGGCTATGTTC